CTCTGAGGTCGCGGGTGAATCACACTCAGAGATGTGGGTCCGAACCTCAGCCCGCTTCTCCCACACGCACCCTGCGTCCAGCGTCTCCTAGCTTGGGCCATCTACATCTTGGGGGGCGGGGGGACCTAGCGCCTCTGAGCTTAAGAAGTTGCTCTGCAGCCCTGGCTGGTTTGGCTCAGTGGATAGAGCCTCGGACCTGCAGACTGGAAGGTCGCAGGTTCGATTCAGGTCAAGGGCACATGCTTGGGTTGTGGGCTCAATCCCCAGTAGGGGGCGTGCAGGAGGCAGCTGGTCAATGATTCTGGTCATTGATGTTTCTTTCTCTTTCCCTCTCCCTTCCTCTCTGAAATCAATAAAAATATATTTAAAGAAGGAGAAGGAGAAGTTGCTCTGCAAACTGTCCAGGAGCCGTGCCCTAGTCTGGGACCTGCTTCTGCTGACCGTCCACAGACCCGGAAAGGAGGTGGCGGCAGCAGGCCCACTGGGCTGTTCTAATGGTCACGTGTCAGAGATTGATGTCAGTAATGACAGCTGACATCCAGCCTTCCTCACCCGGTCTGTGCAGGCGATTCCTCCCGGCCTGTCCGAGGGCACGGCCAGGTTCTGGGTGCTTTTCAGGCTTGACTGCTGAGAGTGAGGGAAGGAGCAGGTGGAAGGTGGAGGAAGAACAAAGAGAAGGGAACTCATCTCTGGGGGAGAGGGGAGGAAGGGGGAGAAAGGGGAGGAGAGGGAGAGAGAGAGAATGAGCACCCAGACAAGGTGGGAGGGGTCCGCTGAGAGCAGAGGGCAGCCGGGCAGTCAGACTGGGCACCACTCTAGTCGGGGGAAGCAGAGTGAGGCTGTCCAAGGAGGAAGAGCGATCAGGTGGTAACACAATGGCCGGAATACCGACTCCCAGCTCTTGACTGATGTGCTGCTCCGGTTCTGTGATTCACTGTCCTCTTCTCTGGCAGGTTGAGAGAGAGAAGAGAATGAAGAGGGAGACACAGGGTAGAGGAAAGAGAGAGAAAGAGGGAGGGAGGGAGGGAGAGAGGGAGGGAGGGAGGGAGGGGGGAGAGAGGGAGAGAGAGAGAGAGAGAGAGAGAGAGAGAGAGAGAGAGAGAGAAACTAGATGTGCCTATGTCTCGGTTTTTCAGACAAAGCTATTATCAAAATGCCAACCAGCTCCTGCCTGGCTCATTTGCATATTCCATGCTGTGCTCTTTGAAGCAGGATGAATATGCATGAGGGCTTGGGCAGGGTGTGGAGCTGCTGAGCTGTGGGCTAAGGTGGCTCCTTGTTCTCTTAAAAGAAAGGCACTAATAGGAAGGCCAGACGGCACCGGCAGGTCTGCAGTGGCCCCTGCCGCCCTCTCCAGTGAAGGGAGGAGGAGGGCAGGGCTCAGGCACAGTTCTCGCCTCCTCCCGAGGAAATAAACAACCAGGCGCCATCAAGACCACGAGTCTCTGCCCCAAGAGCAGCGTTCACTTCTCTCCTCCCCGCGAATACCAATCAGGGAGGCTGCGGGGCCAGGACAGTCACCTGGCCTGCATCCAGGAAGCCAGGCAGCCTCTGCCAGCTCCTGCCTCGGCTGCAAGGGAAGCTGGGCGCCGGGGCGCCCCCTGCTGCCACTTTGCTGCGCTGCCAGTGCCCTCCGTGGCGAGGTCCCTAGGTGCTCAAACACGGCCAGGGGTGCACTCACAGATGCCGGTAGGAATGGGCGCGCATTCACCCTAAGTGGCCTGCAGGATGGCGCCTGCCCCCTGGCCAGCCCGTCTCTCCCTCCCTGACCGCGAGCTGGAGACAGGCAATCGATGTATCCCCCAAACTCCAGGGCCCCACACCCTTCCTTTGGCTTTTCTTTCTGAGCTACCACATCTGCCTCCCATCCTGAAACCAAAAAACAAAGACGAAATGTGGGGCTCAGCCATTTGGGGAACGGCTTGGCCTCCCCGGCCTGGGGCTCAGCTCTACACCAGTGAAGGCTGGCGTCTGGCTCCGCGGTGGCGATGCCACGACCGGGACTGGGTTGGGCTTAGCAACACCCACATCCGGGCCTTTCGCTGATGGGCACACACCCCAGTCACACAGCCCACTAGCCAGACCCGCCTCCTGGCTCCCAGGAGGGCCCCCTGCAGACCTTGCCCTCTGCACTCCTTGCTGAGTGTGGCCCTCTTACATTGGACCTGAGGTTTTTGGTTTGTTTTGTTTTTATTGTTTTCAGAGAGGAAGGGAGAGGGGAAGAAAGAGAGAAACGTCAACGATGGGAGAGAATCATTGATCAGCTGCCTCCTGCACGCCGCCCACTGGGGATCAAGCCTGCAACCCAGGCATGTGCCCTTGACCGGAAGCAGACTGGGACCCTCCACTCCGCAGGGAGACACTATCCACTGAGCAAAACTGGCTAGGGCTGGACCTGACTTTTACAACCAAGACAGGCGGGTCTGAAGCATCGGTCCACCCGTGGAATGCTTCCCACGGTCCTTAGGAGGACGCTGGGGGAGAGAATTGCGTTCACCTGTGACTCACGCTACCCGTGCTTTCCTCAGGTGCGGCCTCTGAGAGTCGGGGCTCCAGCAACAACCAAAACCTAGAGCACAGCTTCTCCGAAACTTAATGCAAATACCAACTGTCCACGGGCAGGGAAAGCCGAACCAAAACCACAGGGAGAGAGCACCTCACACCTGTCAGGGTGGCCATTATCAGCAAACAAGCAGTAACAAGTGTCAGAGAGGTTGGGGGGCGGGACCCTCATTCCCTGCTGGTGGGGATGCAGTCTGGCGACTCCTCAAAAAATTAAGAATAGAGCTACCACAGGACCCAGCAATCCCACTCCTGGGTGTACACCCGCAAAACTCAAAATCATGTATCCGCAAAGATGCATGCACCCGTGTGTTCACTGCAGCGCTATTCACGGTGGCCAAGACATGGAGACCACCAAATAGCGCCATTTGCAACAGCGCGGATGGGCCTTGGGAGCGTTATGCTAAGTGGAATAAGTCAGCCAGAAAAAGCTAAGAACCATGATTTCACCCACGTGTGGGCGATGAAACTGAAACTCGTGAACACAAACAGCAGGGTGGTGGTCGCCAGAGGGAAGGGGGTGGGGAGAGCAGGGGGTCCTAATAATACAAGGAGTTTAGACTCTGGGTGGGGCACACGGTGCAACATACAGATCTTGTAACAGACACACCCACACCTGAAACCTATATGTTCATGTTCACCAATGTCACCCCGATGCATTTAATAAATGAATTATAAAAGTCGAAAACAACAACAATAGTCTGCAGGCTTTGTTGCAATGCAGCTTCTGACTCAGTGAGTGTGGGCAGCGGAGGTTTTGCGTTTCTAACGAGTTCCCAGGTGCTGTCAGTGCTACTGGCCTGGGCACCACACCCTGATTAGCAGACAGAGGGACGGACAATGCAAAGCACGAGACATTGATTGAATATCCCCTCCGACGCCTGCGTGGACGAAAGGAAGAACAGGGGAGCCGCTGCTCCCCCGTCCCCCACCCCCCCCTCCCCTCCTAGACGCACCTCCCCCAGCGGAGTGCCTCCTTGACCGGGAGATTCTCTCTGCAGCCTTGGCCTTGATGAGCTGCCTCCGCTGCTTCGGGCACCTGCTGGCAGGGAAACTGGGGAAGTGAGCGCCTGCCCCCCTTTGCTGAGCCTGGTGAAAGCCCCACCGCAGCGGGGTTAAGTCGCGCATGACCTCACACCCGTGACCCCGCAACCTTAGCCACGGTGCCAAGCAATGCAGAACGGAAGCCGCGCTTTTGGCCAAGCCTGGTACTTACATGCACCTGCGGCTCTGCATGGGCACCTGTCTGCTGCGGTAGCAGCCGGGCTCCGTCCACACACGGTCAGTTCCGTGCAGCCGCCTGAGTCAGCGCTGCAGGCGCGGGGGGCAGCTCCCCTGGGCGGGGGGAGCCCCCCTCACCCCGGGGGAGACCGCTGCTGCTCCCAGGGCAGGGGAGGCCCAGGAAGTGAGGCGCGGGCACCCAGGAAGGCTGCTGTGGGCACCTGCGTGGACCCCTGGCCTCCTGTAGAGCTGCCAGGGTGACCAAGTAGAGCTTTCCACGTGGCACCTTTCATTCCACAAACACGAGCTCCTCGGAGGGGGTGGGAGTCTAATGGACAAGAGGCCGAGGGCCCGTCTGGCTCCGCGTGCAAAACCCTCTGCCTCCCGGCCTCCCCTCCCCGGAGAGGACAGCGGGGCAACGCTGCCGCATCACCACACGGGGGCGCTGTGACGTGCGATGCTGGGAGAGGGCTCAGCCAGGGTCGATAAAAGTTTCTGTTTTTCAGACGTGCTGTGGAAATTGGCAGGTTAATATCATTCCGGCCAGAAGATGGAAGGCAGGAGAGTTCCGGTGGTAACATCAAGCTACGAATTAGCATTCACCTACCGGTCAGGCAAGCCTGGCGGTTGCTTCCTCGAGGATGGAGCCAGCCCGTAGCGGGCATAGCTGCTGGGCCGCTAGGTTTGCAGGAAGGGCCGGGCCGGGCATGCACACGGTCCTAGGATGTGCTTCCCAGGGGCCGTTGGGGACAGTCACGAAGGCAGCCGAAATCCCCCTCCAACAGCTCAGCAGAGCTGCCTCCCTCCGACCCGAGCCTCCGGGTCCCTGGGCGGGGGCTGCCGGCTCCTCCCGGAGCCCATCTGGCCGTCCCCGCAGAGGTGCCCGGCGCCTGCCCGCGCCCCGAGCCCCCTGTCCACCTGCTAACTTCCCAGCCGGCCCCTCCTCCGACAGCCTCTCGCCGGAAGCGCCCTGCAGCGCCCTCTAGAGTTGCCGAGGCGCCAGGTCTGATAGCCCCGCCCGCGGACGGCTCCGCCTCGGTCGGTACCAGGTGCAGCCCATCCCGAACCCCCACTCCACGGTGCACACATGCTCCCGGCCCCGAGCACCCGGCGGCCGGCCCACGCGGGCCACGGCCAGCACGTGGAGGGGCTGCTCATCCTTTCCCTGGAGGGTTTGCAACGGGGGACCGCTGGACATCACACTCCAGAGCACGTGGAGAATATTAATTAAATGAAGGTTTATTTCAAAATTAGTGTTAAAGTGTAAGCTGTTTTTGAGGGCCGGGGGCGGACTAGTAATGAGTGTGAGAGCGGCTGCCTCCCCCGACTCCGGCGGAGAGCCGGCGGCGCCCGGCCCTGCCCTTGTCATGCATCCAATGGTTATAGGACTAGAAGCAACCACAGCCCAGGGCCGGCGCCTGCCTGCTCGTGGTTTATCCAGTTAAGCTCTGCACGTTTATACACACGTCGGAGGTCACGTGGCGTCATGCGGTCCCTGGGATGGAATGACTCTTGCTCAGTGACCCCGCGGCAAGGCTGCTCCCAAGGGCAGGGTTAGGTAGGACAGAGCACTGGAAAGAGAGAGGAGAGGACAGAGGTCAACGCAGTGTGGGGGCCAGGACCTGCTGCCCACGGGGCCCTGGCCCAGAGCGGGCAGACCAGCTCCCCACCAGCATCCCGAGCGGAGAACTGCCCCCCAGAACCAGGGGTAATCGCAGTGGCCTGTGGCTCTTCCAGAAGGAAGAGCCGATGGGAGCTGGTGGTTTGGTGCAATAGGCGCCCAGCTGCCTGGATTCAAATCCTGGGTCCGCTGTTTCCAATTCTACCGCCTTAGGGAGCCTACCTCGCCCGACTCGTTTCTTCACGTGGACAATAGACGGTGCCTTTGCCCGCCCCAAAGGGCTGCTCAGAGGCGAGTAGAAGGTGCTCAGTAAATGTTAATTCGTTTTATGAATTCAGTGACATTTCAGTGGGTCACGTGGGGGGAGAGTCTAGCCCTCAGGTTCCCAGACTTGCAGACCCATTTCTATCAGCCGCCTTCAAAAATGTCCTCTGAGACACCCGCTGCTCGTTCACAGCCTTTCAGAGTCAGAAGTGCTTCCCAATGTTTAGCCTAAATTCCTCCTGCAGAAACGCAAGACCATCTCTCTGATCCTGACCGACACGATACGCGGCAGAGGTTCCTGACCGGGCTGCACAAGCTCTGGATACTGTACCGGGTGGTGTGTGTGGAGGGCAAATGCCAAGAAGCAAAGGCCCTTGGCCGTGGATGATCGACAACGGGCTGAAGGCTTGTGTCCCCAAAACTCATGTGCTGCAGGCCTAACCCCCCAGCACAGCGGTTTTGGGAGCTGGAAACTATTCATTGTATCCCCAGGCTCTAGAGCCCAGCCCCACAGAAGGGGCACAGTCAGCCTTTTGTTGGTGTGGCTGCTTCTCAAGTTCAGTCATCGGGTGACTCGGAGAGCTGACATCTCCTTCTCAGGCCTCCAAGCAACATCCCCAGGCAACACCCCACCACGGGGAGGCCTCACAACTGTCCACTCGCTGCCCCTGGCCCTGCCCCGCTGGAGGGCGGCACAGGGATCCCACAGTGTCAGCAGGAGTCGGGGGAGGGGTCCGGGGGATCTCTGCTCCTGAGAGCTGGGCTGCTCTTAAATTTTTTTAAAAATTGATTTCAGAGAGGATGGGAGAGGGAGAGAGAGATAGAGGCGTCAGTGATGACAGAGAATCATTCATCGGCTGCCTCCTGCTCGCCTCCTATTGGGGATCGAGCCTGAAACCTGGGCATGTGCCCTGACCTGGAATCAGACCACGACCTCCTGGTTCGCGGGCCTCTTACCTTTTAAAATGTAGTCCGTTAGCAAAGTGGGCACCTTCTCGTTATCCTCCTTCATGGCGAAGAGAACTGGGGAAGGAGAAGACAGGTGAGCTAAGGAACCTCCAAGGCATACAGCTCGCTTCTAGGGCCGAACAACCCACCCACCCAAGGAGAGTGAGAAATGATTCGGGGGAACCAGACCTTTGTTGAGTATTGAGCAAAAGTCTAGAAGCTTCTGTCCAGGGTCAGCGTTCCGCATGGTGGTGGTGCAAAGCTACCAAGAGGCAGAGGCCTACGGTGGTTTTATTTTCTTGTTTTCCTTTATCTCTTACTTTTTTTTTTTTTTTTGCTCGTCTATAACTTCCACATCATCTCCTAAGTATATGACTTTAATAATCATACAAACAAATAAATACATAAATTTTTAAAAAGAATCCGTTTTCTGGTGCAGTCAACCTAAATGTTAGAATAATCGTTGTCACATCGCTGAATAGCCAATAACACTGTCTCTAAAGACATTCTATTTACATATTATTAGAAAATCCCCGCGCCCCCAATTTATTACTAGCCAATAAATTCCATCTCACAAATACTCATTTTCTGTTACGCCCAGCACGGCGCTAGAATTTGTGGAAATGCAAGAGACGTCTGGACCCTCAAGGACCTGATTTAAGACTTCTTGTTGAAACAGGACGTGACTCCACTGGAAGCAAATGGGGATGTTATTCAAGCCCAAAGGCTTTTTATCAAAGTGTTTAAAGTAGCTTTTTCTGTTATTGCACTAGGTAGCACTGCGGTGGGCAGTCAGACAGACGTGAGCAGAGCAAGGCCGACAGGCCAGGTGCAGAAGGTCACCAGGGCGGAAAGCCCCGGGTGCCTAGCAACGGGCAAAACTGGGAAAGCGACATCCTCACCCTCAGGGTGACCTATCCCCCCTAGCCTATCGCTGGTCATGTGGCTGGGGCGCCCCCCTGAGTTTCCTCCCCTGGCATGTTGCTAGCCATTGGGTTAGACCCCCTTAGAGGGGGAACAAACAAGGGGCCGGAGAACGGCCCTGAAGTAGTGAGCCACCAGGACAAGGAGGTTCTGACCATCAGACGCTTCTAGGCCTCAGCGGCGTCTCAGCTCCAGGCCCAGGAAAGCAGCAAAACCAGACGAGTAATGCAGGGGCTGACCTAAGGACCAGATGCACCGGCCAAGCAGTGGAGACCAGGACCCTGACAGGACACACCTGGGAAGCTGATGACTATTCTATTGGGACCCTCCCCTGGGGCCTCCCCTGAAATCCTGCCCTTAAAAGCCCTTAGAGCAGAAGAGCCAGCCTCTGGGGAGGGGGAGTGAGGGGGAGGGGCATTAACACACCTTTCTCACCCCCACCTCTGTCCCCAGGTGCCTCACCTTCACCCTTCTCCCTCCTGAGCTCCAAGGGCCCTTCTTTTGCCTCTAACGTGTTTCCTGAGCCCATTTCTTCCACCACAGCTCACTTCTGCCTCTGTGACGTTCTACATACACTTTCTCTTATAGTTTGAGTCTTGGGTTTGAATTCTTTCCTAGACAGAACTCAAGTGCCGAACCCAGGTCCAGTCTGACCCACCGGGCTAACACCTGTTCTCGCTGCCAAAAGCATCTTCTCATGTTCATAATCCATATTGTAGAAGTGAGCTTTGTAGGAAACCCTTCAAGAAAGTAGCTGGATCTTGTTTATAGTCCCAAGAAATGGGGGTGGGGGGGCGGCGGGGGGAGGGTCTTCCAATAGATTCCTTCACCAATCGATTCCTTCAATAAACTCTATCCCCGTGTAGTCTTTATGAAAAAGGAGAGAGATCTGTATGTGCCAGACATCCTTAACAGTGAAGAGAGAAGGCCACAGGACATTATGTACTAACTTAAATAAATGCTAATACTCACAGAAATATCTGGAAGAAAGTGCATGAAACTGTTCAAAGTGGTTATCTCTGGAGTGAGACCAGGGGGGAAGCTCCTTTCTATGTCATATGCCCACAGTGCCTGGCTTTTTTCAATGAGCACCTATTACTTCTTGCAAACGGAGAGAAGAATAAAGATCAGCCGGCACTGACCCCAGGTCAGGCGGCAGCCCTGACAACAGAGGCACCCCGTCCATCTCCATGTCCCTGCTCTCCGTGGGTTTCTTTGCCCAGTTTCACGCAACCTGATTCCAGAAACCAGAAGTGGGTGGGTCGGAACCGAGCTGACGGCGGCAGGAGTCAGCGGCCAGGTTGGGAAAGAGACCAAGCCTGAGGCCCTGCCGGTGCTGGTTTCTTCTGTTTTATTTCGTCTGTGTTTGGAGACATGTACTCATCTCCACGGAATAGGCTGGGAATGCTCTGCCACTGAGCATGGGCAGGCCAGACGCCGCACCAAGAAGGTAGCCGTAAAAATACAGTAAGTGCACTCCGTCGATATGGGTCTAAGTTGGTTTCCAAAACCCAAAATGTATGGGGTGCCCAGGCCTCAGAGCTGGTCTTTGGCCCATTTGGGAGTAAAGAGGAGATACTGTTCGTAAATCCATACAAAGATTTGGCATAAAAATTTTTAAAAAAAGGGCTTTCGTAACCTACAGAATTGGCGTTCAGAAAAGATGGCAGCTTTTTCCTTTTCAAAAGAATAAAATATTGGAATGTATATCCACATGCTAGAAGAGAGAGCCATTTTAAAAATGTTAACCAAATGTTAACGGGCGTGATTAAAATCGTGCTGCAAAATTTTATAGCCAGCATAATCCCAACTCCATGAAAAAGACATTAAATATTATGGCTGAAAAACACCAACATAGAAACCACAGCCAAGGGAACAATGAAGTATTTCTTTTCCTTTGTTCGCTTTCCCAGCGAATTCTAAATGAGCGATCTACTCAAGCGATAACTTTCTAAGTGAACTTAGAAAACGTAAACTAACCCACAGCGTCTTCATCAGAATGAAAGGATTTCGCGCTGCACCCCGCAGTGGGTGTGCAGGAATGAGCAGCTCCTCCTTTTGTGGGGACCATGATAGAGTTCCTTACATAGATCAGCCTTCATCATCTGTCCAATTTATTTTCCAAACGCTTACTGCTTGTGAAAACACCTGTAAATGTCAGCTCATCTCTATCTGCTCCCTTTAAAAAAAAAATTCTTAGTGCATATTTATGCAAATGAAGGAGTTCAAAACGAGCCTAGAGGAAGCCAATGCCTTTTGAATTCACGATTCCAGATTCCCGAGGGCTCAGCAGCTCTCGATGTCGGCGAGATTTCTGTTTACCAGAACCTGCCTTGGTTTTCCAAATTGAGAGAAATGAGAACGGTGGGTCCCCTTTAGCACTGGGCCCAGCAGGCATCCGTCTCCCTCCGCTGAACAGAGGAAGCGCCTCTTCCCATCCCCTGGGGCACCAGGTCGCCCTGCGGCTGGCCCGGTCCGCTGGGCAGCGCTGCTGCAGGCTGGGCAGCCTGGCTAGTCTGTCGCTCAAGCAGCGCACGGTTGCCAGGGAGATGGACTCCTGATGCACAGAGCCTGTCACATCTCAGCCTAGGATCCTCTTCCTACAAGAATCAAGCTGACGGATGGCCAACACCACGCGCCCTGGCCCTTCGGGGCCTGTCGTGTTAGATGGACATAAAGACATGTTGCCTCCAAACGGCTCTTTTTTACACACTTTCCTCCCTAAGCTCAGAATATTTATTACTATTTTGACAGGAGAGCCAAAGTGGAGGGGAACCACACTCTTCTTTACCGTCAGCCTTACCCCACCCAAGACACGTGGCTTCTCTTTAAAGAGACAGCCAGTCCCAGGGACTGCGCTCCCTGCTGGGGGCGGGTGGGGGGAGGGAGGGGGGGCGTGTGTGGCCACACGTTCAGAACAGCGGCATCCTCCAGTTGCAGTGGGGGGACAGGCGGGCAAGGCAGAGGGTGCAAAACCTGAGGACTGCTGGGTGACCCAGACAGTCCCTGCACACGATGCACCCCACCCCTCCACCCCTCCGCCACCTCGTTCCCCAGCTCACTTTCTTCTCCTAGCAAATCTGGTGCCTTACAGACACCGGGGGAGACAAGACCGCGCTGGGCATCACCGCAGAGCACTGCGATCTCACCCCTGCTTCGGGGCCAGGGAGGCCGTGACACGGAGCACAGTCTGGCCGTCTGACACCCACCCGTCTGGGACATCTCGGGCCCGCGGCACCCAGGGTGTGACTCACAGGGAGGGATGCAGGGCATCGAGCGGCTGACCTGGCTGGGAAAGGGCGCTACTCACTGTTGGTCAGCATCTGCAGGTCTTCCACGGACGGAGGCGAGGCCTTCCTCTCGTAGGGGATGACCGTGTTCAGATACTAGGAGACAAACGCACGCGCTTGAGCCGCGGGCCTCCGGGGCGAGCTACCCGGGACCGCCTGCGCGGGGGCGGGCTCTCCTCTAAGAAACACGCCCCGTCAAAGGGCGCGTTCACCGCAGCACTCGTGTAGTTCACACACCAGTGTCTCAGGACCTTCTGTTTTGGGGGAGTGTCTCTTGAAAGCTAAGACTTGCCCGTATCCCCGAGGAAAAACATCCCTCCGTTCCAGCTTGGGCATTTTCCAGGGATTAGGAGCTCTGCTTATTTAAAAGTCCGGGTGAGATGTTTCTCATCGGGGCTGAGAGCAAGGAGAGGGTCTTGTATCTTCTTACCCTTCGCAGTGCAATTTGAGAATGAATGGCTGGCTTCTCTTTTGTCCAAATGACAGGCCAGAGAACCTCAGCCACACCCTGGGTCTTGAATGCTGGATTTGCGCCCTCTGCTGGGTGTGCGGCGCTTCTACAACATCATCATCTTGGGGACAACCCAGTGGGGTATCGGGCCCTGGGCCAGAAGGAGGTGAAGGGCCCTGGGGACACCGGGCAGAGTGGGTGAGACCTCCAGACCCAAAGCCAGAGGCTTCGGTGTTAGTCGTGGCTGTGCCAGGGGGCTCTCCCACACACCAGCCGCGTGGCCTTGGGGAAACCCTGCCTCATCTCTCTGGGCCTCAGTTCTCGCCGCTGAGAAACGAGGGGACTGAGTTAGATGTTCCCAAAATCTCTTCCCATCACGCGTCCTAGAATTCTCACACGGGACCCAGCTGTAAGTGTGTGTGAGACGCACACAACGCATGCACACTTATTCCACACTCATCCGTTTACACACGCATCTCTATCAGATGGCGCACGCCGTGAGGGTGGGGGTGGGTTTGGGGGGGAGGACTTGCTCATCTTGGCACCTGAGGGCCTAGCAACAGAGCTGGGCGCATAGCAGGTCCGCAGGAAACGTTTCGAGCGCTGCCTACAAGGGACCAGAAATGCTTCTCAGACAAGTAGCCGACTCAACGGACCGACCTGGAGATGCCCCAGCGCGGGCGACAGGCAGAGTGGGCGGCTAAAGGCGCGGACCTGGGGGGGCTGGTCCGCTGGCGACCCGAGTGGTGGACTCATCGATCATCAAATGCGTTTCCCTTTTCACGCATTTTGTTCTTAAAACAAGCTGACTTGTAGGGCTACGCGCAGTGTCGACTTTTAAGTTTTCTCCACGCGTCCTGGAGCTCAGGGAACGGTTCACCTTTACAAAGACACGTTCCTTCTCCAGAGTGAAGCAAGTCGGGGGACCGCCCTGGCCCGAGTGCCGGGATCGTCCTATGGAACCCCCACTCCCCGCTCTGCTGGGAGGACAGCGGGGACCAGGGAGACAGCCGTACCTGCTTGTCAGTCCCCGAGGAGCCGAAGGTCTGGCGGATGCTGCTCTGCAGGATGCTGGAGATGCCCTCCATGCTGAAGCGCTGGGGGGAGGAGACCAAGAAGAGCAGCTGCTTCCCGCTCCACGGCCCCCTCTGCGCCCCCCACCCCACCCCACCCAGGGCCTTGTGTCCTCTCTCAACCGCCCGGACCCCTGAGCTGCCACACTGTCCAGGTCACTGCCCAGAGTGCTGGGACTAAAAGTAAGTGGAAGACCTGGGCTAAGGCAGGCCAGAATGGAAACCTGAGCTTTGGGAGGATAAACAGCGTGGAAGACTCTTATCTAAATGAGTCACCCTGCCCCCCGCCCCCAGGGTAACAAACCCACACGCACCCCCACATTTTACTCTACTGTTTCCTGTGTAAAATGAAGCAGCACAGTAAAACCTGGACAGACGCTGATGCAAATATCGTAGGGAAGAGAACAAAATGCCCAGCCACTGAGAAGAGCAGATGGCCCAGCCGGCGTGGTTCAGTGGTGCAGCATCGACCTATGAACCAGGAGGTCAGGGTTCGATTCCCGGTCAGGACACATGCCTGGGTTGCGGGCTCGATCTCCAGTAGGGAGCGTGCAGGAGGCAGCCAATCAATGACTCTCTCTCTCTCTCTCTGTCTCTCTCTCTCTTCTCATCTCTGAAAAATCAAATATACTTTTTTAAAAAGAGAGAGAAGGGCAGATGTCAAGCAGCTGCCCTTATCGGAGATGCTGTTTCCAAATGCACACAGCGAGGCCAGTGCCCAGGTGTGGCCAGAGCACAGGCAGCGGCTCCTGAGAAACCTCCCCAGGTGATTCTGCGGAGCTTCCCTGGTTGAGCCTCTGCTCTGAAGGATCCTGTCCGTGTACCAGCGAAGCACCACCATTTCGGTCCTGAAACACCCACCCGCACCCTAGCGAGGGGAGTCAGGACGGCGCCCAGAGTCCCGGGGCTCCGCTTCTCAACCCTAAATGCCCTCACCCCACTTTCCAAGGTCTTGACCAAGAGAACCTATTCGATGATGTTTGTGTCCCATCAGCCACTGCGCAGGAGAAGTCTGTTCTTGTCCGCTGCAGGGCTGGTCCCGGGACCTGAGGTGCCGGGTTCGCGGGGGGACGCACAGGCTCCCGGCTGGGTGCTCACATACCTTGAGGGGCATCTGGCGCCCCTTCTCCATGCGGCCGCTCTGCAGGCTCAGGCCTTTCTCTTTCCGCCTCTTCTTCATCAGCTCTCGCTGCTCCTTCTGCTTGTTCTGCACCTCGATCAGCACCGTGATGAAGGAGTTCTTCACCTCCTTCTCGAACTCCAGCTCATCCCGGCGGGCCAGCTGCTGCACCAGCTCCTCCGAGAAGTCGCGGATGGCGCCCTCCACCTGGTCCAGCAGCTCGGTCAGCTCCGACCCGGACATGCGCCTCAGTCCTGCGGGGAGACGCCCACAGGTGGCACCTGCAGCCGAGCCCGAGCCGCTGCAGAGGTGGGACGGCCCTTCGAGGGGAGACCCCTTCCCACTCCGCAGAGGGCCAGGAGAGACCCTCACCACTTCGGGGTGTGCCGGGAAGGGTGGGGCCAGTGTGCTGTCTGCAGAAAAGACAGCCCTCGTGGGGAAGCAAAGGGGGAAGGAGAAAAGGCCCCCAAGGAAGCCAATGGACTCTGCCCACAAAAAAGTGTGTGGACAGACAGGTGGCTTCTTGATCCCTTGTTCTGTCTTCCAAACTGTCCTGTTTCTACACTATTCCTCGTGTGAAATGGGTCAAGGGTGGGGCGGGAAGGAGCATAAAGAGGAGGCTTTAGGCCCAGCCAGCACGGCGCGGTGGTTGCGCATCGACCTATGAACCAGAAGGTCCTGGTTCGATTCCCGGTCAGGGCACATGCCCAGGTTGCAGGCTCGATCCCCAGTGTGGGATGTGCAAGAGGCAGCTGATCAATAATTCTCATCATTGATGTTTCTATCTCTCTCTCTCTCCCTCTCCCTTCCTCTCTGAAATCAATAAAAAATATATTTTAAACAAAAAAAAAAAACAGAGGGGGTTTTGGCATTGGGGCTGAAGAGCAATAGCAGGTGGTGCTGATTCCCAGGAGCTGACCAAGCTGACAGCGAAATTAGCAGGACACGTAGAGGCCCTCTCTCGCCGGCAGTCCCGTGTGGCAGTGCCTGCATTCAAAAGTGGGGGAAGTGTGCAGAAGCCGGGCTACTCAGAGAGGAAAGTGAACCCTGGCGAGTGGGAGGAGAGTGGTGTGCTATTGCATGTAATCCTATATAATAAAAGGCTAATATGCAAATTGACCAAACGGTGGCACGACCGGTCGCTATGATGCGCACTGACCACCAGGGGGCAAACGCTCCAGGCAGCTCCTGCGTGGAGCGTCTGCCCCCTGGTGGTCAGTGCGCTCCCACAGGGGGAGCTCCGCTCAGCCAGAAGCCAGGCTCACGGCTGGCGAGCGCAGCGGCAGTGGCGGGAGCCTCTTTCGCCTCTGCACCAGCACTAAGGATGAACAACTGCAGGCTTAGGCCCACTCTCCGCGGGGTGCAGGCCTAAGCCATCAGTTGGACATCCCCTGCGGGCTCCCAGATTGCAAGAGGGTGCAGGCTGGGCTGAGGGACACCCCTACCCCGAGTGCACGAATTTTGTGCACTGGGCCTCTAGTATTATATTTAAGATAATTTTTCTTGAATAATTGGTGTTTATTGAATCTAACATTATTATATTTAAAATTGTTTTTCTTGAGGTATTAATGTTTATTGCATGTAACATTATTATATTTAAAATTGTTTTTCTTGAGGTATTAATGTTTATTGCATGTAACATTATTATATTTAAGATCGTTTTTCTTGAAATAAAGAAAAAAGAGAGAGAGTGGTCTGCCACCGTCAGGAAAGGGGAAGGGGGCCCGAGATCAGGAGACCCAGGTCACTTTATTTGAATTCCTGCCCCCTGAGGCTTCTTCATCTAAAATGGATTCGTGGCCAATGGACCCCTTTCTAACGGCATCTCTTCTTTCTGCCTCAGCATCCATGTCCCTCCCCTTTTCGTGTCTGCTTTGCCCGGATACTTCCCCTTTATCTCGTTCCGAGAGCGGCCCTCCTCCTTCTGCGTTTGCCATTTCACTCCGCATTGCAGCTGCCTTCGCGAGTCCCTGGCTGAGCTTCTCTGTGTTTGGGCCTTTGTGTGGCTGGGAATGGCCGGACCTGGCAGCTGTGAAGGCAGCACCACGGCCAAGTGCGCTCCATCGCTCAGCTCCGCACGGATTCCTCCGGCCGGTCACGCCCTGCCTCTGCCCCGACAGCCAGGCTCGCTTCCCATCAGTTCTTCAGCTCACGCCTCCGTTTTTACCACTATTCTAACCCTTGTTTGGACCGATCTTTCTACCCAGACCCACCCACCTTCTCTCTCCGTTTCCGAGTCCCCATCTCCCCACCCCATGGGTCTACTCCCCAGCAAGAGCATCATCCTCCCTGCGGGCTGATGGCACTCATACCCAGCTTAGCCTTTGCTGTGCTACATCTTGTCATTTCATTCCTCATCCACCCGTTTCTTTGCACAATCCTAGTTACTACCGATCCGTGTCGGAGAATCAGTACGATACACAGACAGAGTGTGGACTCTGGAGTTGACCCATCTGGCTTCAGTTTGGGCTCCAGCCCTTCCGCTGGAATGTGGTGTGAGGGGAAATGCAAGGGGAAAAGAAGAGGCTGGTTCTTCCTGTTGAAAAGAAGGGTGAGATGTTCCCTCTCCCTTACCTCCCTCTCCTTTCAGAACTGCTTTCTCTGTCCTTTTCAAATGCGTGCCACTCGTTTTCACGGCCGAATAAAGCTCCTGCCTGTCTCAGGACTCAGGAATGTTTCCTCAAGAACCAGGGAGTCGAGAGGTGAATATGATACAATCAGGGGCGTAGAAAGGGGGTGGACTGACTATTCTCGGGGGGGGAAAGGGGTGTGGGGGTGCGGGAAGAGACTGGACAAAAATCGTACACCTATGGATGAGGACAGTGGGGCAGAGGATGGGGTGGGAACCGGGTGGAGGGGAGCTATCGGGCGGAAAAAAGAGGAACAACTGTAATAATCTGAACAATAAAGATTTAATTTAAAAAAAGAGAGAGAGAGAGGAAGGCAGGAGAGAGAAGGGAGGATATGGGAGGGAAAAGATGGGAGGAAAATGGAGTGGAGAGGAGGGAAAAAAAAAAAAAGAACCAGGGAGTCACTGCTTTGAAAGTAAGCATCGCCCTGGCCAAGTTGCTCAGTGGTTAGAGCGCCGGCCTACGCACCGAGGGTCGCGGGTTCAATTCCCAGTCAAGGGCACATACCTGGATTGCAGGTTCCATCCCCAGCCCCGGTCAGGGTGCATGGGGGAGGCAACCAATCGATGTGACACATCAGTGTTCCTCTCTCTCTCTCTCTCTCTCTCTCTCTCTCTCTCTCTCTCTCTCTCTGTCCCTTCACCACTCTCTTTCACTCTCTCTAAAAATCAATGGGAAAAATATCAATGGAAAAGAAAGAAGAGAAATCACCAAGGAGGATGGTGTGGCCTGACTCCAAGCTGCAGAGCGTAAGGAACGGAGCACATGGCATCCCCTGGGCTCTAGACAACAGGGGGATTTCTTTCCGGCTCTGCAGCCCCTTCAGCGGCTGCTCATGACGTGCCTCACGCTCTGGCTTCATGCTTATCCAAGGACAGAACTGTTTGCATTCTCTGCTTCTGTGGAAAGCTTCTCTGGGGGGGGAGGAGGTTTTGTTTTTAATCATATTTCTGCAACAGGGGCCCAAGTCGCTTAACCTCTCAGAACCCTCAGCTCAGTCCTGAAGCTGGTGTGGGGATGAAATGCCATTATTCGTAGGACATCTTAGAATAAGGTAGCCCATAGGAAGCACTCCAAAAACATGAGCTGTCATGACTATTACCTTTTGTAGGGGTTTCTCGTTGATTGAGTCATGTTCTTTGCTCCGTTTTACCATTTTGATTTTCCAAAAAGTGCTCCCTTCTCTCCCAATGCCCGGTAAGAAGGAGTTGCCAACTCCCCGGATGCGAGGTTCTACTAGCTACAGTGAGGCACGTGCCCAGCGCCTGGCCCGGGGCAGGGGTCCATCCTGGGCGAGCCCGCCCCCGGCCCTCACCTTCATAGGACCAGTTGTTGTTGAAGGTCTGGGTCAAGGCCTGCATCTCCTGCAGGAGCACCGAGTCCGCCTGGGAGGAAGTTTCGGCCCCGTCCTCCTCCTCCAGGGCCTCCTCCTCCTCCTCAGGGTCCGGGGAGTTCTGCATCATTTCTTCGATCTCCTCGATGACCTGGGGAAGGCCCACAGGAGGCTCAGTGACCTGTCCTCTGCTGGAGGGACATTCTGGCTGGAATCTGGGTCGGGTAAGGACAGGTCTGACTTGCTGTCTGTAAAATTCCTAAAGCGGTGCTGTTCCTTAATACGTATTAAATAATAATAAAAATAGGCCTGACCTACGGCTTAGGCACGCTCCTTCCTTTTAATGCAAAGCGTCTCCCAAGAACAGCATTCGGCTGGGTGCTTTATTGGAAATACGACGCTTTCGGGGAGGGAAGCAGAGCTGCCTGGAAGGGAACCTGACTTCAATGTGCTGAGCGCTTTGTGTCTAAGAGGGGAAATGTTTCATCTGCTTCAACACGAAACCCAGCCCATTCGTTGTCACAGTGCCTATGACTGGGGAAAAAACAGCAACACAACTCAAAATGTGGAGGGTTTTTGTTTTTTTTTCACTTGGGAGGAAATGGCGATTTCTCCAGGTTTTACACAGGAACGAAAACTGCCTGGCAACAAGCGAAAATAGAGATCCTAGAGGAATGAAAGGATACGCAGGGTGTAGGGAGCAGAAAAGAGGTAAGAAACCCAGCTCTGATCTGGACTGGGGAGGGGGCAGCTCCTGGAGTGAGAGTGATGTTAGATGGCGGCCAAAAGGAATGGAGGTAAGCGACTTTGCACATTCATCGTCTGCACAGAAAGAAAGCGAATAAGCAAAGGCTACTTCCAAAGGACCCCACGGATGAGCCTGGTCACCACAGTGCCCTGATTTCTGCGTCTGTCTGTTGTCGATGCTGTGACAGGCTCCGGCTCCAAGGCCGCTGGGCTGGGGCCTCCGTGTTAGGCTGGCATTCATACCAAAGATAAGAAGGTGTGCTGTCCCCTCCTATAGAATAATGGCTGTTTAGTCCCCAACCTTCTCATCTGTGCTAGTACATTCAGGGGACACCCCATCTCTGACTACTGAACGCCACTCACAGGATGCAATCGAATGACAACAAGCCCCTTTAGCACTGGACAGCTGAGTTTCTCTTTATCTCAGAGCGGTTAGCATCGGATTTCTCCTAAAATTCACAAGAATTAACTGGTAGTGCCTGTGTTTTCCATCTGGTTCCCTTCAGTCTCTTGATCCTTATCTATTTATATCCTTACCCACCTTTGGCCACAGACACCAAAGAGTTCCTTTTACTGAAGAGCTCTTTCTGGCATCCCCGGCTCCCAGTGGGGCTTTGTCTGAATTATTTTGTGAAAAAATAAACATGCATGGTGCCTGCTCAAAACAACCACCCATAAGTATTTGGTGACTGAAAGGCTGGATAAGGAAGCCAGTGAGGCAGCATTATTCTCCTTCGGCAGTAAATTATTAAAGCCAAAATGCAATCAACGCAATCAAATGTGAAGCACTATCTTTTTTTACAAACAGACACAAGTGTCTCTAAGACGCCTCTTAGAAGGCTCAGCGTCCTCTGTGTTCTGTGAAATAGGAGAGAAATAGCCATCGCGCAAAAGCCTCACCTACCACTTCCGTTTTTGGAAGAACAGGTGTTTGGGGCCCTGGTTTCAGTATCTGGACTCCAAGCACGTGAATTAAATAAGAGTTTTAGCAGGAAGTAGAGTCAGTAAACACTGGGCCTGCCTCTGGCTGTTACCCAACACGGAGCCCACCCAACCCAAGCGTCTGGAGTTATGTTCCTGTTTACAGCAGGTGGGTAAACTGAGGCATAAGGCGAAATGAAATCCCTTCTGAAAGACACTCCAAGTCACCGCGAGACCATACGTTTTTCTTCTGCCTTAAATGGATGTGACAAATATATTATCTTAAATGTTTTCGCCATTAAAAAAAAAAAATTTCCTGCCTGGCTGGCGTGGCTCAGTGGTTGAGCATCGACCTATGAACCAGGAGGTCACGGTTCAATTCCCGGTCAGGGCACATGCCCGGGTTGCGGGCTCGATCCCCGATGCGGGGTGTGCAGGAGGCAGCCGATCCATGATTCTCTCTCATTATTGATGTTTCTGTCTCTTTCCCTCTCCCCTCCTCTTTGAAATCAATAAAAATATATTTTTTTAAATTCCAAGAACAACAAAAAAAGAAATTAATTTTAAAAAAGAAAAATATCCCAAGAACCGAGGGAGATGCGCATACCTGATCTGCTGTGAGTAGAGGCTCCTCGTTGATCCCAGAATCGTGCTCACTCTTCTCATTGAACTCTTCCTCCTCTTTGTCATGGATCTGAAGCGGGAGGGAGTTCTGATTGACATCAGCAGAGCTAGGATCCTCTCTAGTCTCTACAACGGGGGACACTGCCTGAGGGGCCACTCCAGCAGCCACTGGGTAAAGGGGAGTCTGCAGAGGCGTCAGCGTTCCGTCCCTCTCCCACGCGCACTGCCACACCCGTGCGTCCCTGAGCGCGGGTGGTCAGAAAAAAGACAAGGAGGGATGCGTGGCCGCACCTTCTGACTCAGGGGGAGCAGCTGTTCTTTGACCCACAGACGGGTCGTCCTTGTGTGAACAGGAACCTTCTCAAGGTGAGTGATGCTGCGACCGACGGCTGCAGCGAAGGCCTGCTCATGTAGATAGGAGCCGTGACCCGGGAGTTGGTTTCCAGAATTTACTTCATTAGGCATTTTAAAGGATAGGCTTCTTGCCTGGCCAGCGTGGCTCAGTGGTTGAGGGTCAACCTATGAACCAGGAGCTCAAGGTTCAATTCCCAGTCAGGGCATATGCCCGGGTTGTGGGCTCAATCCCCACTGTGGGGTGTGCAGTAGGCAGCAGACCAATGCTTCTCTCTCATCATTGATGTTTCTGTCTCTCTCTTTCCCTCTCCCTTCCTCTCTCTGAAATCAATAAAAAACATATTTTAAAAAATAATAAAATAAAGGATGGGCTTCTCCAGTCTCAACAGTCATGCTTTTAGGATCGGGTGAAATACCATCCCGTTATGGGAATCTAGGTGTCACAGCTGGTGGAGGATGTAACGGATCCGTCTGGGACATGCCCCGAACAGCCTGACCACGTGAACTAACAGGCAAACCCAGCAACAAAAACCATCAATCACCTGCCCTGCGTCTCCAAAATCCCACAATCCCACGTAAGATTCTGAACGTTCACTACCATGGAGATCGTAGATGTTGCTGTCCAACCAGGCAGCCATAGCCTATCGGGCTTTCCTGACCGCATCCGAGACGGCCACGGTCTGCCCTTTATGTCCACATCCTGCAGAACATCAACCACTGAACGCCAAGCCAGCGGCCTCTGCCCAGAAATCAGACGTGCAAGTCACACAGGAGCTGGCGCAGTGCCCTCAGGGGATCCTCCGGCAGAGGCCCTGCCATCCAGGAACCAGTTCTGCTTGCTCGCCAGGGGCTGGCACGCCCAGCGGCCTCTTTCCCGGGTTATGCTTTCCCGTTCTAAGAGGAAACACCCCGGTTCCAACCCCAGCAGGCCTGCCAGACGCGGTCTGTCCTTAGAAACCGTTCCCTCTTCACTGGGCGCCACCTTGGCAGACACCCCTAACAAAACACACACCGTCTGTCTCCATTTGCTTAAAACCAGGACTATGGCAGAAAAAAGTTAATCAAGCGGATATTAAATGCCATCTGCGCTCAGCCTGGCTCAGGGGTCGGACCGGGAGGGAATGGGGTTGTCTGCGGGGCTGTGCGCCAGATGGTGACATCTATTTCTGCTGTGGAACCCAGATGCTCCTGTGCCTGCCAAGTCCACCACCTGTGGGAGCCACCTGGTGTCCCGGCTCCCCGTCTCGTGGACACACCTCCCGGAGCCACAGCTGTTCCCAACCACACTCTCTCTTTTTTTCTTTTGTTTTTTTTCTTTGTTGAATTTTTTTTTTTAATGCTACAATTTATTTATTTATTTTTTTAGATCTTTTTTTTGTTGAAAGTATTACATATGATCCCTTTTCTGCAGGGAAGGCAGGGGTGGGTGGTGGCAGGGGTGGGTGCAGAGAACGTTGTGGAGTGAAAGAAGATGTAGTGTCAAGGATCGAGAAAGGTATGTTGAGGTGGTTTGGACATACAGAGAGGATGAACGAAAGGAGATAGATGAAACAAGTATACAAGAAGAGTGTGGATGGGAGAGATGGAAGGGGTCGACCTCAGCGAACATACCTCAATCAGATTGAGGACGTTTTTAGCAAAGGCCAGCTTAGGAGGACCCATGAAGTTAATAACAATGTACCTACCTATATAGTTTTAAGTTTAAAAAATTTGGCTCTCAAAAGAAATTTCAATTGTTGTACTGTTGATATTTGGCTCTGTTGACTAATGAGTTTGCCGACCACTGCCCTAGGCCTTCACCACACTATTGTCTGTGTCCCTGGGTTATACCCATATGCATACAAGTTCTTTGGTTGATCTCTTCCCACCACCCACCCCTGCCTTCCCTGCAGAACTTATTTAGGGCCAGAAAATCCTGTTGTAGAAGTCGGCTTCTAGGGAAAACAGAGTTTTTGGTTTTCTGTTTGGATTACTTTTTATAAGCATCTGACAGCAAGTGTTAATCTATAACCAGATTTATTTTTTTTTACATTAAGTCTTTTTAAAATGGATGGTTCCCATTCTGAAAGGTGGCCGATTTTCGTAGGTTTCCTTCTAAATAATACTGCACCTTTCAACCATGCCATCTCCCTTCCCGGGGTCCCGGGGTGCGTGCGCCCCTGGCGGAGGGCGGGCAGGGAACTTTTGGGGACAGATCCTCTGTTGCTCAAATGTTACAGGCAGTGGCGTGGATGCCTCTTAGAGCTCTCTCTCCTCTCCCCTCTCTGGCACGAAGCCTATAATCTGATTTGCCAGACTTGGGTTAAAAGAGATTTGAAAATCAATTACAAGCCTGTGAAAGTTACCGTGAGTTCCTAGTACTATGAACTCACTGTTTCTCGGATCTCAGAAGTCTGCCGCTTAAAATAAAATAAAATAAAATAAAATAAAATAAAATAAAATAATAAGATAAGATAAGATAAAATAAAATAAAATAAAATAAAATAAAATAAAATAAAATAAAATAAAATAAAATAAAATAAAATAAAAGAAGCACCCACAGAGTAATCCCCAGAAAGCCCGGCTCCTTTCTCTCCTGCATGTGGCTTCCCCTCCCCTGTCTGCTTTCACCACATCCACCCTGGCCCTGGCCTGCCCTCCTCCTCATTCTCTCCTCCTTCCTCGCTCCCTCTAGGCCCCCAGCCCCACATTGTCTCTCAATCCGCCGGACTCTCTTCTGCTCCAATCACTGCTGTCACTTCTCCACAAGCCTCTTTCCTGACAGGGGTCATTTCCAGACTCCTCCTCGCCTTCCGTTGCCCGGACCCTGTCTGTGCAGAGATGGAAGGCTGGACGGGGACTAGTGCAGAAAGAGAAAGATTTTTGGAAAATGACGGCATTTATGTACATGGATAAAAGTATGTGTTAGGCCCTAGCCAGTTTGGCTCAGTGGCTAGAGCGTCGGCCTGCGGACTGAAGGGTCCCCATGTTCGATTCCGGTCAAGGGCATGTACCTTGGTTGCGGGCACATCCCCAGTAGGGGGTGTGCAGGAGGCAGCTGATCGATGTTTCTCTCTCATCGATGTTTCTAACTCCCTATCCCCCAAATTAAAGAATTTGGCTCTCAAAAGAAATTTCAGTCGTCGTACTGTTGATATTTGGCTCTGTTGACTGATGAGTTTGCCGACCACTGGCATAAAGCAAATATACAGAAAGGGGAAATCGAAAGCAAAACAGAGCCCTGATGGGTGTGGCTCAGTTGGTGGGGCATCGTCCTGTGCAAGAAAATGTCGCTGGTTCGCTTCCCCGTCAGGGCACATGCCTGGGTTTGGGGCTCAATCCCTGGTGGATGGTGTGCAGGAGGCAGCCAATCAACGTTCTGCTCCCACATCGATGTTTCTCTTTCTCTCTCCCTCTCCCTTCCCCTCTCTCTAAAAATCAATTAAAAAAAAAAAAAAGCAATATAGAGTGTGCTCTCCCTCTCAGGAGCACGTCCGCGATTTCCCTTCTTCTTCTTCTTCCTCCCTCCCCAGGCGTGTTGCCTTTGCCTTTCTTTTTCCTAAGCTCCAAGGGCCCTTCTTCTGCCTCGGTAACTTGTTTCCTGAGCCCATGCAGCCCAGCTGGCTCACTTCTACTACCTTTTTAACTTTCTAAATAAACTTTCTCTTATAATTTGGGGAGTGGGGGGAGCAATACAGAGGGCAGAAGAAATCCCTCCCTATCATCATTGCCCTCTGAGGGGTAACAAGAAAATATCGCTTCCCACCCTGGCTGGTTTGGCTCAGTGAATAGAGCGTCAGCCTGTGGACTGAAAGGTCCCAGGTTCGATTCCACTTAAGGGCACATGCCTGGGTTGTGGGCTCCATCCCCAGTGGGGAGCGTGCAGGAGGCAGCCAATCAATGATTCTCTCTCATCATTGATGTTTCTATCTCTCTCTCCCTTTCCCTTCCTCTCTGAAATCAATAAAAATATATTTTAAAACAAAGAAAATAAAGCATTGCTTCCCTGAAACAGGAAACAGCTCTTAGAAATTAAACATATGAATAGCAAATTTGGAGGTTCAGTAGAAGAGTTGGAAAGGTAGAAACAATCACCTAGACAGTACAACAACAAAAAGCAGGTAGAAAATGGGAAGGAAAAAAGTCAGGAGATCCGTTTTTAATTCTAACACTTGAATAAAAGGAATTGCGAAAAGTGGAAACAGAAGAGCTGGCCTCTTCTAGCCATGACAGGGTGCCTAGCGCTGGACTTACCCCTCCTGCCATGCACAACTATACATCTGTCCGGAGTCTATGGGCCAATTGTTCTCCGGCCCTGGACACAGGCAGTGCAAGGCTGTGATCCTCGAAGGAGGAGAAAAACACAAAGTGAATGAAAGCTGAGAGAATCTGAGTCCTGTTCACTTACACTACCGAGGATTACTGTAGAGAGTGTTTTGACCTGAACGGAAATGATGGAAAATCAGATCTACAGGAAGGAATAAGGAATACCAAAAATGGCACATGTGAGGGTAAATGTAAAAAGCATCCTGAGCCCCTGTAGCCTTAGGACACAGGCAGGAGCTGGCAGTGTGTGTACATGACTAACAGGAGCTGAAGAGGGCCTTTCCCAGACCGACCAGGCTGGCACCCTGACCTTGGGTGCCCAGCCTCTGTAACTGTGAGAAATAGATTTCTGCTGTGTAAGAGCTACACAGTTTGTGATGTTTTGTTATAGCAGCTCAAATGGACTAAGAC